CATACATACATACATACATAAATATATACATGCGTACGTAGAACAACAATGCACACCAGGGAGCATTTTCAACACCAACCACCCACTCCTCATTACTGCTGCTGCTGCTGCTGCTGCTGCCTAACTCATCACTAAATGTACGCCCTTGTATTAAACAATGGCGAGGGAACCCTTGCTTTAAAGCATCGTTATTATTATCATCATCATCATTATTATCATCATCATCATTTTCATCATCCTGAGCTGAAGAAATCCGTGTGCTGTCAATTCACATTTCAAGTGCCATAAGTTGTGTTATTATAAACTCATTGCTCTGCCCTAAGCTCTTAGCCATAAGGGATCGGTTTTTTATATGCGATTTATATATAAATTAATGTACAAAAATGTACGTATGCTCTGTTGTGTGTGTTGGCATGATACGTATCGATAAGATTTTCATTAACTGTATGCGTATTTCTTAAACAATTGCGTAAATAGACGAACAATGCGCCGAATGTAACGAATTTTAACATATCTCACAATAGTTAAATGCACATAGAGAGCATTTTATAAGACAGATAGATATTCCTCTCCTATATATATTTCAATATTTAAGTAGCGGATATTCTCCGCATATACTAAATTAAGTGCACTCGCATAATTTTTGTTACTGTGTCGGTAAGCAATATATGGAAATGAAGAGTATTCGAGATTCAGTGTAAGCCACGAACAAAGTCGCTCTTAAAGAATATGCTACTCATTTGTTTTTCTTATAAAAATCCGAAAGGATTTCACTTTGACTTACGACTAAATATATCAATTTGTGCATGTGGTACATAACAGAAATTAATGTAAAACGCGTACAGTAAACACTTCTTGCAATTGACATAAACAGGGCGAGTTTTTTTTAACCAAAAGTATGAGTGTGATTTTAGTTAGCAACTGATTGCTTAAATTAATCTTAATGTTTATATAGTGATTGATCAATTTGGCAATGTTTCGCTAAAATCTTTACAGCGCACTTTATTAGGAGAGAGGAATGCATGGAAAGGTTCGTATTTCTTCTAAAGACCGTCTGAGACCGTATGAGAGTAGCATTAGCAAGAGCGGAAGCGCGGTTATCTTATTCCGTATCCCTATTGCATACCTTTCGTATTTTTTTAAACTTGAACTTATGAAAATACCAGAATTAGTAAAGAAGAAAAACTTTTCGCCCTTTATTCTCGAATTCTCTGCTTTTGCCGCGGTTTCGCTTGACTAAAAAAGTTTCATTAAAAGTGTTTAAAATTTATCGTTGAGTAAAGGCGTACATAGTTCACGGAAAGGGAGCGTAGATTGCGAAAGGTGTAGAGGGACCCAACGAAAGTGTACATTTGATTATTTTGCATGTAATGCTTCCTCTTTCCAGTGGGACTTTTGCAAATGTTATCTGTACAAATGAAAAGAAGAGACTAAGCAGAGATTCGAGCACAACCGATAGTTGGCATTTATAAGAAGCGTTCACTTTCGACGTTAACTGTGTTAAGCGGTGTTTCGTTCACACGCTTAAGATATTTTAATGATTTAATCATCTTTGATGAAGAACATTTTGTTACCAAGTGCTATAGTTGTTAAGAGTGTTTACTGTACACGTATTAGGTTCATGATGAAACAACACAGATGGCTAGAAAGTGCGCAATATTTTCCCCCTTTTTTTTTTTTTTTTGTTGTTACCATTTCTTTGCCCGTATGCGACTTTTCGTTGAGCACATTGTTTGCCGTTCATTCGCATCAAAGGATCAGTGAGCAACGATTCAGAAAATAACAACGGATTTTGATTAAAACTCTCCTCATTCCCATTTAAACCTACTCTCTCTCACTCTCTCTCGCTCTATCGCTCTCCTTTTTCAGTTTTATAGCTCGTTCTTTGCCAAAATATGTGCAAACATGACACATATCTCTATAAAGTTATCATACATTGTTTAATATATCGCAAGTTTAAAGGAAAGAATGTACGGATGTATGTGAATGAGCGATTGGGAGGTTTATGTTTGGTATCATTATGCTATTGAATTGTAAGAAGAGAAAAAAATCAACGAGAATATTGTGTCGGCAATAAGTAGTGCAACTGTATTAAGGGAAGATTATGGATCACAAGTAAAGAATGTTATGCGAAAACTGTAACAATGGCTTTCACTTTTTTTCATTCCTTACTTTTTAATTTACAACAAACAAATGACAAACGTTTACTTTTTAATATGTAAATACATTTTTTAATTTAAAAACTTTGTTTACACAATTTCGAGATTTTTCTTACTTACTTACTCCTTCAGAGTATAAAGTATTATCTTATTTTAACAGTCTACCGAATCGGTCACCCCATCAGTTAATGCATAGAATATTCACCTCTGTTTATTTAACATGGTGCACATGATATCATTTATCTTTAAACGAATTGTGAATACCCATCCGTTGTGGTTAAAATATTTTCAAAATTAATTTAAAGGTCAATCGTTTTTAATATACAGTTCGGAAGAACGGTATTGTTATAGGAGAGGTGAAGAGTGCAGTGAATTTTGATATTGACGATTACTTACTGCTATTTGAAAACCTCTTTCTTCGAATAGATTCATATGCAGCGAAAAAATTATTTATCATATTTTCCTTTTTCTCTAGTCTAAGCCTTTATATTAACGAGACGATACACTCGGTTAACTAATTTCATTTATATTTTTCGGAAGTTTGTATGGCGTTAAACCAATTTCTCTTCCAGCCTAATACGGAAATTGCGGTTAAAACAAAAGATTTCAACGCAATTGAATAAGATTTGCTCCTAAAATATATATAAATATTTTTTGCCTGGATTTTGCAAAAATGATGAACGATGAGTCGATGCGTATTTTAATGTGAGTGAATGTATGCTTGCTTATGAATAATTTTGAAGCATAAATTTAAATCTAATTACGGCCAATAATTCGATAAAAGCATATGTTTAACGACACCCGTCTATCCATTCGTCCATCCACCCAGCCCTATGTACATGTGTACATTGCAAGGACAATTTTCAAAATCAATGTGAACCGCAATGCAAACACAGAAGCACACGTACGCAGTAAATAGCAGAAAGCAAACAGTAAACAGGGTGATGCCATTTTATGGTCCATTGAATACTGATGATAAGTTGTTCAGATTATTTACACCTATCAACCGCAGGCATTTTGCTCGGCCATAGAAAAAGGGTGAATATTTTTTCGTTTATTTTTGTTTTCTTTTTTTTTGTTCCTTTCTTTGTTACGAAAATTTTAAATCTCAAGAACTAGTTGTTTGTTTACAACTTTTAAGCTTGAAAACTTTAATAGAAATACGTTATGTGTAACACATACACGTTATGCATCAATCATAACGCGAATAAATATAATCATAAAATATTTGTGCTTTTATTTGGGCTACAGTTGTGTGTGTGTGTGTGTGTATGTATGTATGCATGTATGTGTAGGTATATGTGTGTGTTCGCTTGAATTTTTTAGTCAAAAGTCATTTGTGCCAGATTTTGGGTCTAAAGAAAATTAAGCTGAAGCACGCCTGCAACCCCGCCCGAGCATTCGTTACATTGTCACTGATAATCGAATCAAGCACGTGACCACAATTGTATCTGGAGTGTCGATAACAAGCATGTTTATATAAGAGTTGAATGAATATTTACATGTGTGTGTGTGTGTGTGTGTATGTGTGTGTGTGTGTGTATGTGTATGTTTATATGTATTCGTATATGTCTGGCGCTATTAATAAAAAAAAAATCGTAGCCCTTATTGGGAAAAGGAAATGTACGCTTTGTAACGGAAGCGTGCGACAGACAGGATATACAGTTTTTCATAATAATTGTTTTTCATTTAATTTAATTTACTTTAAATAATAAATTTTGCTTTTGGTAAAATAAATATTTATTAATGAGAATAGTTACCTGTTTTTACTTGATATTTAAGAGTGGTGGCGCAGTCTTCAACCAGCTGCTGTAATGTAACGGCACGATCGGGTATTTCCAAATCCAATAAACGTTTCATATCCTCGGGATGATGAAAATCTAGCACCTTTTCATTTCGATCATTGGTCGCTTTGACGAAATCAAGCAATACGTCAATAATCTTCAATAGAAACTCTCGAGTCTCTGGCACCGCAGTAACTGTGGTGGGCAAGATATCTGCAAATAAAGACATTTAAGAAAACCTTCTCACACCCATCTCTTCATCTTAAGAGAATAATATCAATTTTTTACATAAAAAACAATAACAAAAAAAAATGCATATGTCCATGTGTATGCTCATGTACGAGCATATTTATATGCGTATGGCTATGTGCAATTTTTCCCTTTATTATCTATTACGTTACGGATATCCTTTGTTAGCCTCATGCTTAAGGTAAAAAAAATACATTATCAGAAGGAAATTACGGTATCATGATAAAATGAAAAATGAAATATAGTTATTGGAGATTATAGATTATATACATTCTTATGCGAACGAGTGGAGAGAAAAATCTTTTCAAATAAATTCATAGTAAATTTCGTCTTTAAACTTATGGCAAATGGACGCTAATCATGAATACTTAGTGCTACTCGTGCTAAAGCATTATTGATTTTCTTTTACTACACATATTTTAAAGACATCACAGTGGCTTAGTGTCAAAGTCATTTGATACTTCTTTCGTTTTCGAATGGCAAGCGCTCTTTAAGGCGATTCTTTTGCATTATGTTTAATGCTTTTCTCTTATTTCTACTGAAATAATTACTAATGTAAGAGACACCCCTCACGGAGAGCGCGTTCGACTTGTTAATGCTCTGCAATGCAATAGAGACTCGTACCTAAAATTTTTTATAGTATATATGCTTGACCTTTTTGCAATAATCGAATTTTCAAATCTGATTGAAATCACTCTACTTAATCAATCAAATCGATGCATGCATGGATTGCCTCACATTGAATATAAAATCAATAGATTTTCCTTACAAGCTCAGAAGTTAACCCGTATCTTTATTAAAGTCCCCACGCCAACCTTGCACCTTAAGTACGGATTCAAAGGTACGGCCAAGATTATCGCAAGATTAACTAATAAATATGTTTCGAAATTTGTAGAATTCCCCTTTGAAGTTCTGCTCAATTCTATTGTCAAATATCGTATATTTTAATATCGTACATATATCCGAAGACGGTAATGAGAGACTTGGACTTGGACAATAGATGTGGAGGTCAAGATTCCTGTTCTCATTTGTAATGAAGATTACAATGTACTGGACTAAGCTAGTATTGACAAATTTATATATATGTACCATGCAGTTATCATAATTTAATGGAGGCTCTCTCTTCACGCAGGAAGATAGTATAGTGAAAATTCAATGCACGCTTTAAACATAGCTTCTCTCTAGTTGTATTATTAATAATTCGCAAAATTCTGATACCTGCGTAAAAGGACCTTTTTATACGAACTCAACTTTTTGCTCCTTCATTTAGGTCATTTCAATATGCTAAAGTCTTTCATTTAGCCTAACCAAGTTCATGGGTGGACTCGCATCGACTGCGAAACCGAAACATTCGCTATTGAAAAAACGAGTGACATATTAAACAAGTAAGAAAATTATATTCAGCCGCGACCAAGTCTGTTATGCCCATCATTGCTTATTGCGAGTCAAAAATATGTAGATTGTAGTATGGTCCCTGAAGCTTCTTTTTGTGTGCTGCAAAAATTTTAATAAAACAACAACATTTTTATATTCTAAGTAGACGTGGCCAATTTTTCCATTTTTTTAGTGGTGTTACAGGACCAATCATAAGATATAAATACTAATTTTTATTATATATATATATATATCATTATACAACATATTTTTTAATTTTTGAAAAGAAAGGTAGTCTCAGGTTATGTTGTGCTCTGGTCGTTCATCAATTTGAATTAATTTTCCGATTGCTCCATTTCTGCGACAAGGCGAATGTTTTGTCACAGGCATTACCCAGGCAGACAGAAAGAGGAACATGTTTTAATCGGCATACAACTTGACGCTCATCGAGAATGTATATAATTGAAGAGACCTCAAGGCATTGTCATGCAACTGGAAAGTATTAGCGCTTGTGGCTTACTCACCAAAATTGGGCTCTTTCGCTTACAAAAGATCGAAAAAAATGACTCGGCGAATGGTTCGTGAGAATAGCGGGCGACCTTTAAAGGCATGGTATCCATAATTTTCCCAAAGTATGAAGAAAATATGTAACTTGCGGCGATTCTTCTGAATGAAACATGTTTGTTTTATGCCTTCGACCTCACAATTTTGCCAAAAATGTGCGGAGTGAAAAGATTATGACGAGTGTACGTGAATTTCGATATCAATAATGATTTCATTTTATAATATTAGTAATAAAATATCTTTTTTAGCATCTGTGGATCGTTGCGAAAAATGCACAAACGGTCCTGATAAATATGGTTCCCGCAGCGGATTTTTACTCCATATTTATCTTTTTATTAAAAAACAAAAAAAAAGAAGAATTCAGGAAGGTTTTGTCTAAACGGAATGCTGTCTTGCAGCCACCGTACGTTATATGAAACATATGTATGAGTCTTGTTAATCTCTTTGGATAAAGTAAAAAGATTACAGCAAAAGGTTATGTGCGCGATTTACGCTCGAAAGCACATTTGTTGAAAACGAAGTTTGACGAAATATTTTTCTATTTTGCTATCGATACTAGAAAATATCTGGAAATGAATGCCAAACAATCCGTTATCTTAAAGAATTTCTTTCTCAATTGTATTCTATACCACTCGCGGTATAGAGTACATTAAGCTTGGGCGGATTTGTGTAACACCCAGAAGGACTTAACGTGGGCCCACCATTTAATACATCAATCGAGCTAGAATCAATTACTGAATGGATTTACGCTTTTCTGTCCCTCTAACGCCTGCCCATGAATTCCTATGTTCAACCTACACACAGATCACAAGTTTGGACATTGACATTTTTTCTTTATCCCAAGGAGGAAGTATATTGAAAACGGATTGGATTGTACCTCTTTCTAGACAATTCCCGTCATAACACCTCATTGTGAATAAGTTGTTATGTGACAAAAAATCGTATTGCTGAAAATTCTCGACAAAAATTGCAAAATATAATATCAATACTTCGGCATTCTAAATTAATGTGAAAAATTTCAATCGGGTAGGTATCGGTAATTATTTGAACGCCTTCCTCTGCAACCGTGCCTTCAAAAGCTAAAAAATCTTTATATGTCACCAAGATGCAAATTTCAATACTTTGTAGTGAATATTGGTTCCTAATAGCAATTTAACATCGAAAAATAACTCCATCAAACTTGAATCACTTAGATCTATTGTTTGAATCGCTCCTCTTATAAGGAAGGATTCTCACGAAAGGCGACCTCTTTATATAGCGAAAAAGTTTCAACATTTTATGACGAAAATTGATTTACAATAGCAACTTGATAAAAAAATTAATTGCAGGAAATTTGCACCGCATAACTCTATTTTGTGAAAGTCATTTCATAGAAGGATTCGCATAAAAAGTAAGCCCATGTATAACGGAAATAGATGGGATGCAATAAAATTTTTAACAAGAACATTAAATTTGACAAACTTAGACCATGTCAGATAGCGTTTAGGGCACCCGTCAATGCAACGCCTATCATGAAATGAACAGTTATGTTAGGCAAAATGATGTAGGGTATAGCAGTAATAGCCTGATGTTGTCACTCGTTTTAACTGCATGCGCATCAGTTGGCCAATAGAAGTTTCAAATCTTAGATCGAACTTTGTTACAATTTATAATTGTTATAATTACTGGTAATAATATTTCGAAATGAATTCAGAATTGTACGATAATCAAGAATTATACGCAATTTGTACGCGTACACCTAAGTATGAACGCGAACGGCATTCGCGTTACAAACTGAATTAAATTCAAATGAGATGAGATCGACGCTATTGTTCGTTGCAATCGAAGTAGAGTGCATGGTCTGAGAGGGCGCGGCGTTAAGTACTTGTGTTAAAGTATTCAATTCTCTTCTGTACATATCACCCGGAAATGATAACAACTCCCAACACGATACCCACGGGCGGCCATAATTTTTCCATTATTTTTCAAATTTTCTTTTTGATTTTCCAACAGATTCTACACGACTCTAAAGCTCAACCTGCATCCGTTAGGCAACGGTATGCCAACATATTTTAAATAGCTGTGTCTCGATTGCGAATTTCAGAATGATTGCGTCATTAATGCAAAAAATGACTATTTTTACCAGCAATGAATTATCGCAATAGCAAGCTTAGTATACTTGCTTCGCGTTAACAATTGAAAGATAATTTCAGCAATTTCTCGATCGAGGTATTTGATGATTGCTATACTGTGTGGCATAGTCCTTGTTTCGTCTTTAAATGTTAAAACAGTAGAGTGATTATACGATCACAGATATACTTAAGAGCATTCGCACTTGGGCGGAGAATATGTGAAGAAATAAATATGCTTATCTTTATTTGACATGAAGAACACACGCAATCTTCTGAGCTTAGTAAAATCTAGGTTGTTGCAAATGAATTTTTTAAATGTATGTTAGCGTAGAGACACACTGTGTGATTGGCATCTCTGTGATGATCGTATGCATAAATACTTAACCAAGTGTTTTATCATAAACGGGGTAAAAAATTTAATATAACTTAAAGAGGGCAAAGTGCTATCTATATAAGGTAAACTGCTTAAAATGGAACAACGGTAAATATGTAGTAAGCGAATAACTAAACTGTTTGCAATGTTCAACAAATTGTTGTCTAATAGAAAAATTCCTTAAATACCAGAAATGCGGTAAAGCATTAAAAATGAGATGAAAAGCATCCCTTACAAATAATGATACAACAAGTAATGTTAAATGTATGTTGCGCTACATGCAAGTATATGCGATGTACTTTTAACTTCTTTGCGTTACTTTTATGAAATCCATAAAAAAATTCAGTGCAGATAATACGCTGTAACTAAATGGTTTATGTTTGTTTTATTTCAATTACTAACACAGCAGCACACACTTTATGTATTAAATAAAAACCCACGGACAGCTTGGACGTTTTAGTGGCAGTACAGTCTTTCGTCGTCGTTTGACTTTTTGTTATAGTGGTAGGTGGAAAAAAAAAAAAACGAAAACAAAAACAAATCTTTTACAGACATATGCGTATCGCACGTACATTTCCGTGTAAGTATTAAAGTAAAATATTTCCCCGATTAAGACTCAAATAATTTATCATTTAAACAGCGAATGGATGGATGTCTTTGACATTAAACTGTTAAGTTGAGCAAGCCGATGCTGTTTGTTGGACTTTGCCACAAAAAAAAAAAAAAAAAAAAAAAAAAAAAACAAATAAATAAATAAATCTTTTCCTTTTTTTGTACAATTTATTTAACACTTGAACCTGAGTTATGTTCATTTATGTTAAGTAAATGTTCTCGTGTTATTTTATAGTTGAAGGACATTTACGAATGTTATGAGTGTTCGTGACATGGTTACTTTTATCTCCATTCCTCTTATTTTTTTTTTGAAGGTTTGTATTATGTAACGTCGCTGAAGGAATGAAGTTGAATAAAAATACTTACCATAAGCAGTAAGTTTTCCGGTTCTATCCGAAAGCTTGTATCCATTAGGATTGAGTGACATTTTCTCCTCTGAAATTTGAGAAAAATCTTTCATGTAATGAGGATATTTTTGAAAACTTACTTACGACTATGCAGTAATTAACTAATTAACGAGTAAATGTTGAAAAGTGTAAGGAATGAAAGGACGAACAAACGAACGAGCGAATGAGCAGTGATGTATGTTAAATGCTTAACTAAATGCAAGCAATCGAACGAGTGTACAGGTATATATCGCTGACTCTCTTACATAATCAGAAGACAGAGTTATATCGGGGTTTTTTTAGATTTTAAAAAGACTTTTCTTACGTAATTAGTTTCCGTTCAATTTTAATTAAATACTTTTTTTTTTTTTGATTTATCATTGATTATTCATTGGTACAAAATTTTTCTTACCAATAATCTTTCGGAGATCTTCGATGTATTGCCTGAGGAAAATCACTTTGACTGATTTCTTTATACCAGAACTTCTGAGAAAAACTTAATGCTTACAATTTGTGATATCGTGATATGAATTATTATTATAAAGAAAAAAGATTCTCTTTTAATATATATATTATTCGAATTTATTTTTTTTTTTTTTTTTTTTTTAAATTAACTTTTGTTAGTGTTTGAGAATATGACTAAGGAAGGGAAATTAATGTGTTACACTACTACGAACCAATACAGAGAAAGTGCTAAGAATCAATGAATTAATTAATTAATATTTAACTCTAAACAGAAGCTAAGGTTTTCTCACTTTTGTTTTTTTTTTTTTTTTCTTCAAAATCACACACAATTAGTTTATTTATTTATATGTATATGTATATATCTAAATATATATATATATATGTTTATATATGCACATATATATACATATATATATATATATATATATATTTATATATATATATGAATATATTTTTAATTTTATTTATTTATTTATTTTTTAAATTCTATCGGAACTCCTGCCGTTCACAATTTCGGGACGGACGAGAAAGCCAAAGAACTGTACTGTACTCGTTGACGATCTGAGGTGCTGTGTGGCTAAAGTATCGTTTCGGTATCCTACAAAGCTGCTACAAAATGGCTGCAAAATGTCACCTAAATACACACAAAAACTGTGTATCTATACCGATAAAAAAAATCGAGCTTCTGTGAAATGCCAACACACTTACATGCTTACATACTTTTACAGTTGTTAGTATCACTTAAAAATTAAACAATAGAAATCACCAGCATTTGTAAATATGTGCGAAAACACGACGGTGAATATGTATATGTATATATGGTTCTAATAACAGATAGGGCCTTAAAAGGAAAAATAATGACGTCATATTTTCTTGTTTTTTTTTTTTTTTTATTCGAATATTTTGCCATATTGCTTTGTTATGGAAAAGGCGGTACTAGTGTTATTATACTGGTATGTGTAAAATATTGAGGCATTTATCTGCATAGGACACACCCACTACCTAACATATTAGGGTAGTTTTTATAAAATTTCTGCATAAATTGAATTGAATTTCATGGAAAGTCTAATATACATATATACACACAAACGTGTGCATAAATGTCTCCATGTGTATGCGTTTATATGTGTAAGCTTGTTTTATATATTTGATGTAGTCAAGATGTGTACATAAGATGGTTATGTGTATACAATACACTCACGTTGCATTTAAGGCCAATATTGTACAATATGTGTAATCAGGAAATTTTTCATTATACAAATTTCGTGAGTACGTATAAAGGTATATCTAGGGGCATTAATTAATTTATTTTGTGACCTTGTTTTTATTGCTGTACTAACTTAAAATCGATTAAACTATTTCTTATCTCCGATATATATTATTAATAAACGTTTTTTCTTTATCTTATTATCATAATAATCATCGATCGTTTATATAATCGTCAAGATATGCACTATAACATGTGAATATGATTTTGTTATGTACCGATACAAGGATAGCATGATAAACATCTGTGCTCAAGCACATCATTTTCAAAAATAATAATAATAATAATATATTTTAATATTGCTTTGACGGATTTAATAAAATATTTTTTTTTTATTGACGCAAGTTAACTAATGGAAGCCGGCTGATGTCGATGAGTCCATCAGTCCATCATCCATTTGATGTAAACGTAATGAATATTCAGTTACGAAATCGAAGGAATCGAACCTGGGATCAATTACATTGAGAACGGAGACTAGAAATCAATCAATGTAAAGGGAAAACGCACAAAAGCTTGTCTTGTCTGTTCTAAGCTAAGCTAATTATGTAACCAGATCTGCACAAGTTTCAGCATTGATTGAAATAAGAAGTTAAGACATACCGGATATATTTCCAGTTTGCTTTTGCTGATTAACCTGATGAAAGCTGAGCCCGCGATCCTTTGCATATTCTGCTACTCATCCGATTTCGATTCGATATTGAATATATACCCCGTAGGCTATTGCAAAAAGATGTATGAAATTTTTCATCCATATGAAGCTTTAAGATTATCTCCTTCTTTTATACGCAACATGAAGGATGGCTTTTATTATACCAATCGATTTAGAATCATTTTTTTGCATCGATATAATCTTGTCTTTCTGTCTGCTGGTTTGTCTTGCCTCCTTGTGTTCAACCGACAGGCTGCAATTTTGGAGATATTTTGGTAATATTTGGCCAAAGAATGAACCCTTTTGAAAATGGTTCGGATCGGATACATTTCCTGACACTCCCCATGTAAAGCCTTATTTTGAAAATCTTAAAAAGCCTTATTTTGCATAACTATATTGAACGAAGTAGTGTACGGTATTTTATAGTAAGCCCCGTCTCACTACAGCATTTTCGCTTGTTTTCTGATATATTTTCCGTCTAACTTCGATTCGTAAAAGGTGTTTGAACAAATATTTAGAGAAGATAGATTTCATGCTGTCAAGAAGTTTCTGTTACACAACAAGAAGTGCTTGAAATTTTTCCAGAGCATCTTAATTTGAAATCTTTGAAAATGGAATAAAATAAAGCCAAAATGTAGTCAAGAATTCGATTAGACTTGTATCATCACTTTTTGTTTGCTACAATTTCCGAGGAAACTTTGACTGAAAACGTAATAATTTAGTGATTAAACATTTCAGTTAAACATTTTCTTCCTCTCTTTTTAATATGACTAATCGCTCAGGCGATGTCTCCTATATGTTCTATAATGGTCAAAAGAGAAGAAGCTAAAGGGAGAGACACCAGCCTTTCATGCCTTCACTGACTGAGCATTCACTATAACTAATAGGTTGGAGGGAAAGTTCTCGCGTATTTTAAATAGACAGGTAATATTTCTTATAAGTAAAAATAAAAAAACATCTGGCTACTGAGTCATTTGGATTTTTTTTTTGTTTTTTTAGCTGCTGCTTAATATAAAAGGAGCCTTTTTTTTACCGTTCATCATTTACTTGGGATATTTAAAGTGAACAAACATGTTAGTAGATAGGGTGTACTTATGACAATGCATTTTGTATGAATTCAAAAAAGGATGCAACGCATCGGTTGCATATAAAAGTTTATGTGCGCTATTTGGAAAAGATATGGTAAATGTTCGTACTTGTCAAAGATGGTTTAGTAAATGTCGTTCCGGGGATCTGAGCCTCGAAGTATGTGATTGATAATGATGTTTTGCGATCCATGTTGGAAAATAGTCCACACTTAACAAGTCGAGAAATTGCGGAAGAGTTAGGCATTCATCATACAACTGTTGGGGAGCACATTAAGTCTCTTAAATTGGTGTTAAAGCAAAGCACATGAATAAAATACGACAGAACTTTCCCTCCAACCTATTACAATATAGCAAGGACAAACTACACTGAGATTTGAATCCGCGAACAACGGATTTGCTAATCGTGACTCCTATCTACTCGGCTATGCGGCAGTGAGAAATTTAACTCACACAAAAACCGCTCAGGATTTCAGGATTTTTCCCTAAAATTTGTTAATAAATTGGTCCTTGCGCCGCTTATTGCTTTTAATGATTTCTGAAAACCAATTGATATATATATATATAGTACCATCCATTTTTGTGCTTCCGAAAGTGAAAGCAAATAAATAAAACCGACTTCCGAATGAAATTTCGATCACCTGATATGTACAGAAATTTGTTAAAGCTTTTTACAAAAATAGTGAACCCATGGTTACGTTTCGGGCATGAGGGATGAAGCTCATGGTTAGCTAAATGGCTACGTCAATAAGAATTATTGCCCCTTTGGTTTGAAGAAAACGCATTCAATGTTCCTAAGGGAGTTTTACGTGTACAAAAACAACTTTTGGATATGGTTTGTGGGCCGAAAATGGCATTGCAGTTACCTTCAATGCAGAACGATACAGAAACATACTTACTGACTTTTGTCGGACGAAGTAGATGAGATCGGCTTGGACGATATGTGGTTTCCAACTTCTCAAGACAACATCAGTTTATAGCGAGAAAAATTCATCGACCATCGACGTGAGCTTGCCACAAGGATCATGCTATATAACTCTATTGGACTTTTTACTTTGGAGTTATGAAGGAATGGCTTACTTTATTAATTAACCACGAACTCTCCAAGACCATTAATTTTTCACAGAAGCCCAGAAACCGATTATTTACCGCAAATCATTTTTAAATGAAAATATTATGAACCAATGTCTAAAATAAAAAAACGAAAAACATGTTGTCGTCTCTTGCCATTTAGTTTTTATTACAATTATAAAATTAAAAAAAAAAAAACAAGTAAGAAAGTTTGCACTACGTCTTTCGCATTCTACTCTCCAAGTTCTTTCATTTGATACCCATTACCCTTTTGCTGTTATTATTAAGACAAAATTAATCGCGGTGTCTACTATATTCCTTATATCTTCATTTGAGGAGTGTACGAAATAGTTTTCAAGATTCGATCTTGTTCGCCTTATGATAAACAAACACTAAACGTCAAAAAATGAAAAATATAAAAATTAATTACTTGTAACTTTGTGTGAGCATGATCGACGGTTGCGTCCATTTTTGGACGTGAAGAATAGAGTGCTTCGTCAAGTAAACGTGGAACATTTCAGCCATCAATGTTTTATAATTTTTGCGCAACGACGGAAACAACGGAGTTGCGTTCAGTTTGCGCTTCACTGCGCGCTTCTGCTCCGACCGATTTGGCCCATTTTCAATACCAACGTGCGTGCAGTCGATATCTCCATTTTTGCGAGTAGGAGAGTGCCAACCACCAGTAACACACAGCCACACAAACGGATAGACATAGATAAATCAACTCGCAATTTCACGCTGATCAAGAATATATGTACTTTGTAGGGTCTCTGAAGCTTCCTTTTAGGTGTTACATACATACATTAAGGAAAAAAAAAAACAAAATGAAAATAATCCCATCTTACAGTGATGGGTGTAAAAAACGCTTATCTGATGGTTCTACACATGCTTTGCATTTTTGAGCCTTTTATTTATGCAAACGTTGCATTGGTTTTTTCATACTTTTCAAGTCGGGTCAGCGACCCGACAAAGTATACATATTCTTCCATTCTCAGCATCAAATTGTGAATCGCTTTAAGTGCGTCCGTCTATGTAATGTCTATTGTAGGCATT